CAATTATGCCCGAATGTATATAAAGGATCTATCTAAGCTGACTGGACCATTATATGCAAAACTTAGTCCCAAAGGACAAAAGTTTTTCAATAGTGAGGACATATATAGACATATATATATATATTCCAAAACACTCTTTAACCGCTCTATATGATACTAGTAAAAATTAGTAATAATTTCCTCTTTTTTTCTTTTTTTTTTGCACATAATTTCCCCTTTGTTAATTTAGTGACTTCCACGGTTAAACATTTCCTCGTATTGATTAAGCGATTCCTGCCTCTGCAACCTCATTTCCTCGTTGAACTTCTTTATAAATGCCTCCACTCGCCAATTCAACTCGTCCTGGCTCAGCGAGGGTTCCTTTCTCAGCTTCAGTACTGAAGCTAGGGAGGAGCTCACTTGCGCCGGTGACAGCTGGAAATTGGTCCGGTCCGTGAACGTTCCCGATTTCTTCACCACCGGCGACGGCTCAGCCAGCGGATCCACGTTCGCCTGATTCTCCCATGTGTCCTTGAACGTCTCTGATTTCTTCAGGTGCCTCGACAACGGCATTGCCTTCTTCTCCATAATCATTTTCCCCGTCCTCTCCACCGTCTCGTGTCGTTTCGGCTTCGCCACTCTCAGCGATCGAGAGCCTAATTAACAATAAAATAAATGGAATATGTATACCAAAAGAATTATAAACGAAATTACCATTTTGTCAACTTTAATCGCGTAATTTATAGGTGCAGGGGAAGGATATTTTGGACTTTTGGGCAGTGCGTCTAGCAGTCTAGCAGACGCCATTGCTCTGTGTCTTGAGTAAAGAAAATGACGTTTCTTATGAAAAATACAAAAAGGAAAACCCGCCGGAGAAATCTCATCGACGCCGACGGAGAAGGCTGTTGAGTCTTTTTTTTCTTTTTCAAAATTTGAAATTCGATATTTAGAAATGAGAGGAGATCAAGATCTAGCCATTACCATGTAGTATTATTTGTAAAAATAAAATTAGAGAGAAAAAATTAATACCTTCTGGACTGGTTTTACTGACAAGTTTCCGGTGACGGAACCTGGCAGAAACCAGAGGTTTCTCCGCTGGTAAGAGAATCTCAATTGGAATCTCCGACGAATCCATCCCCCTCAGCGGATTCCACTCAGATTTTGAGGTCACCAATTCATCATTATTTCGAGCACACCGAGCCAGTGATGGAAAGCTTGGACCTTTAATAGATGATTCAGGACGTTTCTACAAGCCTCTCCAGGTTGTTGAACTTGGCTCCAGAGAGGTGGCCTTCTATAGGGACTTCTCAACCAATGCAGAGATTCCAGATTACATCCGCAAATTCTTTCCTGTTTTCTATGGAACTGAGATGCTAGAGGGATCTAATGGGTCTGGTTTGTGCTCTGTAAGGGCAGGTCCGAGGTGCTTATCCTCGGACGTACGGTGCACAGCAGTTATGATGAACGCCCTGGTATCTAAGTATATCTTAATCTCCCGGTCCCAAAATAACTGCTTGGAGATACGTATCAAATCCCGAATATCTTGCTCGGTTCAATCTCCCGGTCCCGAAGTAACTGCCTGGAGATACACATCAGATCCCGGATATCTTGGCATCTTGATTGGCATACCGCGTGGATTCCTCATCGGAACGTATAAATACCCTCAAGGGCCACGCCACAAGGTAATTGAAACCAACCCTAAGCTCCTTTTATCTCCGTCTCATAGGTAACCCCGATTATTGCTAACTTAAGCATCGGAGTGTCTACCCCGAGGATCCACCTCGGGGCTTTGCAGGTTGATCCAAAGTACGGTTGCGGACCGAAGAAGGACTTCCGGTTTGGTGCAGTTACATGCTCCCACCTCGTCTTGCAGGATTTTGTCTCCGGTCGCTGCAATCCATCTGTCGTGGACATTAAAATTGGATCTAGAACCTGGTATCCTGAAGCCTCTGAGGATTGTAATGAAAAGTGCTTGAAGAAAGATAGAAACAGTACTAGTGTGTCATCGGGGTTCAGAATGTCTGGGTTGCGTGTATTTGAAAGCAAGGAACCTGGATTCTGGAAACTAGGGAAAAAGCAAGTGTCAAATTTCACTTCGAGGATGTTAGATTAGTTCTGAGGAAGTTTGTTTCATCTAATCCTTCTGTCTATTCAAAAAACCCAGATTGTTCACTTGCACATAGTGTTTATGGTGGTTCATCTGGAATTTTGGCACAATTATTGGATCTAAAAACATCGTTTGAGAATCAAACCATCTATCATTTCCATTCTTGTTCGGTTCTCATGTTTTGTGAAAAGGAGAAATTGCTGGAAGGAAGAGCTTCTGTTGCCGAAATCAAACTTGTAGATTTTGCCCATGTTGTGGAAGGCGAAGGTGTAACTGATCATAAATGGCCTTTAGTTTGGTTAGAATGATCTAGTCCATCTAGTTTGCGTCGTTAGTATTGTCAGCCGATAAGCTAATTTCTTATTATAAGAGTATTAGTAAGTTAAACTAATATACTGATAAAAATTAAATATTATCTTATAAAGATTGTAAATTAATTAATTATTAAAATTAATTACTTTTAATTTTATTTAAATAATTA